CGGAATTCAACCCAAACAATAAAAACACAATTTTGTGCTCTCCGCAACAACCACTTAATGAAAATCTACACTTATAGAACACAAACACTTGAACAAAATTTAAAATCCAAAACCCCATACCCTCACCCGCAGCCAACTTCACCAGTAAGACACCATTATCCCAACAATCAACCAGTATCATGTGTAACAAATGCATCCTCAAACACATGCAAAACAATAAACCCACCACGCACAACCCACTTCGCCCAAACAAAAAAAAAGGCACATACCAGGTACTCCTTCCCCCTCCATTTCTGCAATACAATTTCACCGATACGAAAACCGCACAAGCCCGACCGAATTGATTCAAAATAACCTTGATAATGTAAACTCTCTGCACCACGACCGCAGGAAAAGCAGCGTAAACAGCGAGCGATGTTTGAGAAGTGAAGAGTTCTATTCTGAGCCTGCAGCTTATTAGGCGGGATTCCCCAACATCTACGCATTTCAGTAAAATCAAATCTCCCTAATATGCCCTTCCGCGATTCTACCGTCAAAAGGAGTGTAAAATAATAATTACACTTCCTATTTTAAAGTTTTGATCTCAGCCACACGATTGATCTAATCCTAGGCTCCTAATTCATTCTTAGTTCTTTCATTGACATATGTTCTTATTAGAACCCACCCCTATATATATATATATGTGTGTGTGTGTGTGTGTGTGTGTGTGTATATATGTATATATATATATATATGTATATATATATATATATATATTAAAGGATTATTTTATTAAAAATCAAAATACAAAAGGAGGGGGTGGCCCATACCCCAACAAGTTGGCCAAGGTATCAAATACAAAAGGACATACGAAGGAAAAAGAAACAAACACCAAAACTCCAAAAGGCAAATACATAAAACCAAGTACTAGAAAGTGGGTGCTTCCCGACCCAACTTGTAATTGTCTTCTTCCATTTGGAGTAGAGTTTATGGATACTTGCAAAATACAGCTGCAATGTCCCATGTTGAAGTGGATTCTGTTAGTGAAGTCCATCATTTGAGAGTGCTAGAAATCCTGACGCCCTCCATGGATACCAAGAGATTGCCCTTAAAGGAAATGCTAGGACACAACTGATGCAGTACCAAAAATCTGCTTCCAAATTCCAGCTGCGGGTTCCATTCGAGAGAAACCAAGTGTTCTGAATTTTAGTGGCGAGAGCGAAAAACATGAATCCTAAAATGGCCTTAACAAATGCATTCTGGTTTCACCAATCTTTGAAGTAATTTCAAAAGAAGCAATCCGGCAAACAAACCAAGTAACTCCAAAATGTGCTGATAATCAATTGAGTAAAAAAGAGAGAATCATAGTAATTGTAACAATCTACTCAAACCAACTTAATACACGTCTTTATTTCGAGCTTTCAAATCGGAGAGGTGTTTACTCCTTCTTCTTGGGAGTGAAGAATCCTGGATTTGCAAGCAAATTTGGTTGAATTTTTTATTATTTCTCTTTAAGTTTGCCTCTTTTTTAGCATGCCAATCTTCGTCTTCAGAACCTTTATCTGTCTCCCTTTCCTCTTCGGATGAAGGAGGTTTAAAAGCTTTTCCCGAAAGTTTGATCTCAGGCCTGGTGCCAGAAAGTTTGATCTCAGGCCCGGAGTTATAACACACATTATAACCCCCATTGTGAAGAATCCAGGTCATTGTCTAAATTAGAGCATCCTAAGAAGTGAGGGGGGTTGGCTAGTGTGGTAGGATTAGGATTTCTAGGGGTGAATTCTTGAGCAGAAGCTGAGAGTGAGTTCGCACGAGGTTGGGGCAAGATTGGGGGAGGGAAAGATTCATGCGCTGATAACAAGCATGAAGATTGAAAGGTTGTACTCTCTAAAGGCTTATGGGAATCAATACCGGGTAATTCACAAGAGAGAAGAGTTGCAGAGATGGAAAGAGGTGGTTGGTATGCTGGTTTAGAAATCGAGGCACACACCACAGCCATATCCAAAAAAGGAGGGGGAGGGGGAACCAATGTTTGAAGAAAATCAAAAGTTTTCTTAAAATAAGAGGTGAAGGATGCAAAGCCATACCCTTGAGAGCCTTCAGGGATGAAAACCCAGATTTTCCCATCCTGATGAAATTCACACAATTTGATGTGGTTCCTGAAACTTGAAGATTGAAAGTGTAACTGTAACCGTCTGTTCCTTTCTCTTTGACTGGTTGAACATAGCTTCCCCTTCGAGTTCAGTGAGTAGAGGTTCTCCAGTAACCAGGTGCAAGTGTCCAAACCAAGCCATATATTGTAACGTTTCCTCCCATGAATTTCAGTGATGCAGATCTTCTTGTTGTAAATTGATGGAGTGAGTATGAAGGTCTTACCTTCGATGGTGAACCTTAGACGGTATGGATGAGGTCTCGATTCCGCATGGACTGTGAGTGGAATTGGAAGGGAAGTAGACTCGTTGGCAAGTTCTAAGGTCGAAGACTGTGCCTCTGCGTCCTTCCTTTCGCGGTTTGTGACAAGGAAGGATCGCTGAAGGATTTCTAAGAAAGATGGTGATTGAGATAATTGAATCGGTAATTTGGTATGAATTAGAGAGTGGGATTGTCTGCATAATGTTAGATTTGGAGGGGTGTTGGCGGACGAGAAGACGGTCTAAAGCAGCGGCGGAAGAGGCGGAAGAAACACCGGCTGAGGCGGCGTAGAGCTCTGACCTCTCTCTAAAACCGGATCCATATATATATATATATATATATATATATACACACACACATATACATATATATATATATATATAGATATATATATATATATATATACACACACATATACATATACATACATATATATATATATATATATATATATATATATATATATATGAGAACACAATGGACCTTCTAAGCTGACCGAATAAGTCATTGAAACGAGATAAAAGATAACGAATTTTTCAACTGACATTAGTTGTTACAGAATCTCATTGATTAACATATAAATAAAACGGGTATTCTCTTAAGTAGGAAACTTGGTCCGATGTTTCTTTGTTAGGCAATCTTTATAGTCAAGTATTCAGTTGACATAAACATATATTCAATGTGGAGTTACGAATATTGGTCCTTTTTTGGGATCAATATTGTTGGAGAATTCAATTTCTCAGAACAGTTAAATATTAGGAAGTTCATATCAGAGAGGTGACATAATTTCAGTACATTCCTTCAATTCAGATCTTTCTTTTACGTATCACACGAATAGACTTCCTGCTTCTTATGGTTGGGACGTTTTCGCATATATATTCGAGATGACCTTGGTCGGTTTAGAAATCAGCTTTGCTTTCACCTCTATGATGTTACCATCATTGGTCTTCAGTTGAGGAGTTCTTTATCATAAGTTGTCAACAACAACGACGTTCAATCAGTCAATGCATACAAAGGATAATGTCAATTTCCTTGTATGGTATTTCATTGAGGTTTTATAAGGAATTGTCGTTTAACAAACGATTTCGATTCATAAGATATAATCGCATATTTGCATCGTAATGAGTTAGACATTAGAATGGGATACTTTAGATAATAGAGTTTATTGATTCTAAACCTTCGTGTTTGAATCAGCGATCAGATCGTCTTGAGTCCATATGAGGATCTTTGACACCGGCTTCACAGATGTTGTTCAACATAAATCATTCCTCTAGATTCATCTCATTTTCATACAATGTGCGATGTAGATTAGTTTCGTCATTCGCGATGTGAAGCGTACGTTGATACCGTATCAGAAGGTTATACATTTTTCGTTCATTCTTTCGTCTCTCGCTGAGTATGAAAATTCCACTAGAATCTATGCTCGATATGATTTCGGTATTAATCAATTGTTATCTAATGAGAATTATACCTAGTAAATTCTCATACCTTTCCTCGAGCAGAGGAATGCGAGAGTCGTGGATGTGACTGACATTTTATTTTATTATTTTTTTAAATCAAATTTCGATCCAAAGATCGAGTTTAAAACCATTTGCTCTGATACCAAAATGTAATACCCTAATCCGTCCAGGTCTGCAGCCCCTTTCAGACTAAAGTATTATATTGGTAATCGTTGTTAGACGCCTCGCACACCTCTAGAGGGGGGTGAATAAAGGTGTTGCCCAAAAGACCATTTTTTTTGCGCGGAAACGTTCTTCACGAATATTTAATAAAAAACAATGCACCACAAACAAAAAATAAAGTGAAGAATAAGAGCAATGCACACACGATATATACTGGTTCGGCCTAAATGCCTACATCCAGTCCCCGAAGTAATCGTGCCCAAGCCTTCACTAACCCGTCAAACTTAACGGAGTTTGACAATCCGAATACAACTCAAGAACTTGATTTCACAAGCTTCTTATCTTACCACCAAAGTTTTGATTTCACAAAACTTGGGATTTCTTCCACCTAACATTTGATTTCACAAACCGTTAGGATTTCTACCACTTGGTGTAATCCCAACACCAAGAATACAAATCCCTTACAATAAAGTAAGAAAACAAACCGCAACCGAGTAATTCTCCCAACACGGAGTAGATTGTTGCAATTAAATACAATGAAGTCCTTTAGAATATGGCAATATCTCTCAAAGAATCAAGCAATGAGGTAAAAACTCAAGCAAGAAATGATTTAGCAATCAAAACAATTGCGTTCAAAGTGATCTAAGTGCTCTTATGAAGATAATCACGAAAGTAGGTAGTTTATAGAAGTTAGGGAGTGGATAGGGATGAAAAGCATTCAAAAAACTAGTCGTTTGGTAGTTGAAAATGTCGACTTATTCGAATAACTCAAGAACTATTCGAAGAGTTTGGATCAATCGTGTGGCTTGAAAAACCAGAAATATATATTCATGATAGCACATTGTCCAACAATTTCCCCCTTTTTGATAATGACAAACCCATTAGGAGATATGTATCATACAAGGCTAGTTCCCCCTCAAGTATTGCATCATAAATCAAACAAAGACATACAAATCTATAATATCTTCCCCATTAAGATATGCACAAATACAATTCCCCCTGAATATATGCATATCTACACCATCTTCCCCCTTTTGACATTATCAAAAAGAGATGAGCAAAAAGATATATGCTCATGCAAATAGATATCAAACAAACAAATAATATCACATTGTCCAACTAAAATATAAATCAACATTAGTTGGAATTAATAAAGTGAATCAACTTCCCCCTTAATTGATGCTTCACCCAATTATGTGCTTGGTGCATCTACTTCAACTCAAGTCAAAGTGTTCAAGCACACCTTCCTTAATGAATCTACGAAGCAAATCTTGGTACCCAATGCCTTTTGGGTCCAGGGGTGTTATGGCAATAGTAAAAATCATATGAACGATGCATCACATTATCTTGACTTAGAAGCAAGTGCCTATACTTAGTGTAACAAACTGGTGTGATGTGTCCTACTTTATTACAATAATGACACCTAACACTAGGGTTGTTCATGTTTCTAGGACGTGTGATGTGCTTTCTAGGTTGTCTATCAAACTTAGAATTCCTAGAATGACTTAG